ATGGTGCGCAGTGCCCAAGTCTTTATCAACCTCATTCAACAGCTAAATGACAACTCCACGTGTGAGGTGATCTACAACGGAAATCTCAGTGAGGCGTTCTTAGTGAATACAGGAGTAAAACATGGCTACCTGCCTACTGTCACCGATGATATTCTGAATTGTGATGAACTGGATAATGCATCACACCGTGAACAAGGAGTGAGAAGGCAGGAATTCGGTGCACTCACCGATAAGAAGACCTTAGAAGATCCGAATTTCATGCGCTGATGATTTATGTTTAATGTCACACAAACTGGAAGACTTGGATGCACGCGAAGAGCAGCAAACTGGCCGGCAGAAGAAGCAGGCAGTCAGAGAAGGCAGGAATTCCAAGTGAACATAGAGAAGACGGAGATGGTGAAGATAATCAACCAACCAACAGCAACAGCAATGCAACAACAACAACAACCAGCACCAATCACCATCACTGGGAGAGATTTTGCACCTCACTTACCTAGCTAGGAAGCATGTTCTCAACCACAGGCAGTCGGAACGGATGAAGATGTCAAAACCACCCAGCCAGCCAGCCAGAATCGCAAAGGCAAAACACACCTTCATCAACTTGAAATCAGTCTCGAAATATTATGCACCAACACGGCATAAATAACAAGATAGATTTGGATTTTTAACACGAATGTGAAGTTAGTCAGTTCCTCTACATATGTCTGAAACTCGCTATGCGTGTCATGAAGAGGATTTCCAGAAAGCTACTGCAGACTTTTATCAACAGCTGCCCCTTCGCTGGTTGGCTCCATACTGAAGACCAATAACCAACCAACCGGCCACAAAGAATAGGCAACAAGAAACTCTGGCTGCCTGGGAACCAACCAATGGGCGAGAGCCGATTGTTCGATAAATATGTAGGAGAAAATGGAGATGGATGAATTGGGTTTACATCGAGGTAGTTGTCAAATGACATCGTGCTCAAGGCAGACCATTGCTCGAGTGGAATCCGAAGTAGAAGGGACGAGTGGGTGATCGTTGTGAGGGTGACATGGAGGAGATCGTGTGTTGGTGAGGAGGAGGTGAGGGACTATGGTCAATGGTGGACCCAGGTGGAGAGGACAGCAGAGAATAGAAAAAAGTGGACACGTGTTGTTGAAGCACTATATTCTAGCGGGAACCCAAGGGAATGATAATCATCGGGATGCTGGTAAAAACTCTTTACATTAAATTCATCAGTAAAACAGGGAAAAAAGTATGTCAGAATGACCTATACCACAGTCATTATCGTGTGGATTCGCGGTGGTAATTTGTATATTGAGGGTTTGTTTTCTGACTGGATGTCATCATTGCCTTTGATGGAATCGCAGTACCGCGAAGTAAGACAAATGTGAAAAATTAACGGTTGTTAAAGTCAAAAGGATGGAGACAATCCCTGAGAATCCCTGGGCCTTGCTTTTGCGCATTATTTACATTTTTCCTCAAGGCATACCTGAAACCCCGAAGGAACTTATGCCTCATTGGGAATGCGAACTCGTGTCACCCAAAGGTACTATCATGGATATTATCACTTAACCATTCCGACCAACGATTGATCTCATGTCTTAAGTGTTAAGACATTTCGGGACATGCTTTGATATTTTATATTAGACATAGACAACCTAAAGGAAATCTTCTTCAACTTGTAATTAATTCCTTCCGAGATTCATCAGTGAGGAATATTATAGACCACTTATGGTAAATGATGTTCTTGGTGCGTTTGGAATCTATGTAGCTCACTTTCGAAGTTGCCACTAACACGGTGTATGCACTATGGCTGATGGACTGTGTTCGTATATATTCATACCTGTTTGTTCAAAGTAAAACATGGGGTTCTAGGCTTTGAAGTCCCATCAGAGATCGTTTTGTCTATACATGGTGTGGTTTCTGGCCTCATACCCAGTGTCGCCTCTCTCTAGACTACTAATAGGTGGTAAACTAGGCATGGTTTAAGAGTGCTCCACTTGAGAATCAAACCTAAGACGACATAGGAGGTTGACTAGCATTCTAACAGTGAACCATCGACATAACCGACGAAGTATACACCCAAGTTATTTATGCCAGACAGTTCTAAATTCGTTGTTCAAACAGAAGTAGATTCAGAAACACACATTCCATATCAAAAGGCGTAACATAAATATACATTTTTGTATAGAATTAACTGATAAACTGACTCTAAACCAACTGTTACCTCTCATTGGAATGACCAGAGACTTGACGCCATAAAGCATTATGCGAAACAATACTACTATAAAAGTGGAGTGAAAGGGGAAGATAAGACTGTTTGATCTCACGGTATTTGACATCATGAGTGAATAACTACCTGGCTGAATTACCTACGTAGATTTCTGTACAAATTTGCATTTTTTAGACTTGTCATACTTTGGAAAAGACAGTACGAAAGTAGAGAAACCTTATGTGGTGAAACTACAGCGAATAAAGATGTGTGGAGAATAATAATTGGATGAAGATTAGCTAGAATTTCCAGAACCTCAATAACTCATGCCACCAATAGGCGTCTCGTGGACCCCAGTCACATGGTCTACACCTCAGTAAGGGAATTAGATAAATGGTCAGTGAATTTATGCATTGGTGTCATGATGTCGACAGACCACTCGGTACTCTTTTTCAAAGTAATCCTACTTTGGCTAGTGGTGCTCGTTGTGGAAACCCGGCGGGTGCGTACTGATGAAGAGTCCCAAACTGGGCTGACGAAGCCGCTTTCTAGTACTCCCTGCAGGTCTTTCAATGTTTCTTCAACTGACGTTAGCTCATGATGAAATTCTTCAAACTATGAAACAAAATCACTACGAAACCAATACTTGAAAATTGATTTGATGCTCACTAGCGACCGGCCCTATTCAGGTAGGGTTCCAGTGGGAAGCCGTGATAAGTAGGGTATAGCAGGTTGAAAGTGAGGACAGTTACTCATCGGGGAAGACACTGCGAAGTGGTCGCGCTATGTCATAAATTGGCAGAAGCTAGAATTCATGAGCTGGCCAATGGATAGGGTGCCATTGGCTTGATGGTCTACGAGCTCGTTGGCCTTGTAACCGGAAGGTCCTGGGTTCTAACCTTCGCGGTGGGTGAGTACTGCTGAAGAGTCCCAAGCTAGGATAAAACAGCTGGCTGTGCAGTACTCCCAGGTTTTTCAATGGTTCTCTAACTGATGTCAGCTCATGATGGAATCCTCCAACCAATCAAACAAAATATCCCTACAAAACCACTTTTTTATTCCTTTTACGTTCCCAGTAGAACATAGCGCTTCAAGTTAGAGGCTTGAAGTTTTGGTAGCAGTGGTGTTTATTTTTACGAGATGGGGTTGTTAGCCTCATGCACAAACTTCCTTTTTTACCAGTCTTATTACTGGCTTAGCGAAGGAAAGTAGTGCGTCAGCCGGGATATGAACTCCGGACCACATGCATGTTCGGCGGGCATTCTACCACTGTGCCACCGAAGCACACAACAAAACCAATACTTAAAATAACATATTCAACTATCAATACGTATACGAAATTTGAAAGTTGGGGCCTACATAAAACTTCTCGAGTAGGCAAAATGAAATGAGTTGAATAAAATGATGGTGTAGACTATCCATCACTTCAAACACCAGAAGCGTTATCCATCGAACTATCGAGTCATAAAGATGCAGTTAATGTACAGTGGATGTTATACGTAAATTATTCCGAAATGAGTATAGTCATTTCAGTTTAGATGTATCAACGGAAAATTACATGGATGATAATTTTTTTCATTTCATACCTTTGAGTTAAAAGTGGAATACAGGACTTCAAACTTTGAAGCTTGTGAGTTTCACTGGCGATGGTCTTGTCTTTGTGCGGTAGGGGTTCCCAGCCTCATGCTCAACCTTCTCTCTTTCAAGCATTGGCTTGTAGGGATTTGATTTGAAGTCTTCAAATTGACTTCAAATTGAAGCATGCGCTGAAGATGTCACCTAGTAGGGCAATGAAAGCTTCGCAAATTAACCATCCAGCTCAGAGAACACAACCACATCAAAAAGGGATTTGATTGTCTGGTTACAGGATTTCATCATGAGCTGATATTGGTTAGAGAACCATTAGGAAATCTGGGAGTACTGGACAGCTGTTCACATCCTCCTAAGTTGAGACTGTTCATCACTACGCACCAACCGCCAGTGGTGTGCGAACTCAGGACCTTCTGGTTCCAAGGCGAGCTCTTAGACCATTAAGCCACTGGAACCCGACTCATTGGTCCATCCATGAATTCCAACTTCTGCAAATTCACGACATAGCGCGACCGCTAGCCATTGTCATCTGTGGCGAGTATTTGTCCGCACACCTGACCTGCTACACCCTTTTCTCTTTCACTGGATCCAATACTAGCTAGTGAACTAGGCCAAGAGAGGCTTCAGAGTGCGTCGATGTAGGGGAATGTAGCCTGGACCGCGTGCTTGTTTGGTGACGATTATTCTACCATTCAACTGTCAATGCATAGAATAATGTCATACATTTCATTCATGTAAATGACTGCGTAAGTGGCGCAGCGGTATAATGCTCACCGACCACGCATGAGGTCAGGGGATCGATCCCAGGATGACGCACTCCCAGTAATAAGACTTGTAAAGGAGGAAGGTTGGGCATGAGGCTAGCGATCCCATCCAGTAAAAATAAACACCACTGCCGCCGAAACTTCAAAGCTCTAACTAGCTTGAAGCCCTCCCTATGTTCCACTGGGAACCTAAAGGAATAAAAAAGACATGACAGTTAGGTAATACCCATAATGACCGTAGTGAAAAAATGACCTGGTCAACAGCGAGATTTCATAGCTAAGGTGATAAACTGCCAGACTAGTAATTCGCAGACATCGTCTCGTTGAAATTCTGCCGAGACCTATAGCACAAACTACCAACCATTCCAAAACTATCTCAGATACAATTCAGTTGATGAAATAAAACAAATTAACAAATAAAAATGCCTTAACTTTCATTTTCTACTTACCTGAGGGGTATATTTAACAAATGATATGAATAATTTCACATGAGATAGTAAATAAAACACTTCCAACCATAGGACAAATTTAACTCCGCCTAATATACAAACAGTTATTGTATAGATACCAATCAGTACAATCAGACCTTTGCACATGTTTGAGACACGTTGGCCACCGCGCTAAAATCAAATAAGAAAAGAAGAAAAACAAAGTTAGGGAATTGTATTTTACTTTTCTTTTTTATTAATATTTCACTTTTGTTTCCACTGTAACCAATAGTTACAGGTAGTTCGAGTAGTTTTTATTTCCTCAGATTTCCAAAAAAACCACAAACTAAACTTTATATTCACTCATCGGATCGTTAGTATGGAGCCAGTCAACCAGCAAAGGGAGCAGCTGTTGATAAGAGTCTTCTGTGGCCTGTTGGAAATCCTTTTCATGACACACGCGCATTGCGAGTTTATCACCCGTATGGGAGAAGTGACTGGCTGACTTCATATTCGTTTTAAAAATCCGAAACTGTATTGTTCTTGGTGCTGCTGAGTTAGTACAGAATATTTCGAAACTGGTTTCAGGTTGATGCAGGCGTATCTCGCCTTTTCGATTCTGGCTGGTTGGCAGGCTGGTTTTGACATCTTCATCCATTCCTACTGGCTGTGCTTGAAACCGTGCTTCCTAGCCAGATAAGTGAACGAAGGAAGTGACCTCTGTCAAATCTCTCGCGCTGTTGGTCACCGGTGCTGGTTGCTGTTGCTGTTGGTGCGGGGGTATCTTCATCCCCTTTGTCTTCTCTATGTTTACTTGGGGTCCTGTTTTCTCTGTCTGCCTGTATCTTCAGCCAGTTTGTTGGTTTTCGCCTGCAATTCTTCAAGTTTGTTTGACATTAAACATAAATCATCCACCCAGGCGTCAAATCCGGATCTTTTAGAGTCTTCTCATCGGTTATTGAAGCGTATTCATGTCTTGTCACTCTCGACATGCTCATTGGATATACTCAATAATAATCCATTTGCATTATTGTTATCTTTATTACTGAGACACGAAGAGGATGAGTTTTGAATGATTGGAAAGCCTAAGGGATAACTGTAATAGACTGATCATATACAGTATGTTTCAAGTGGTTTTTGAAGCCACATCTTTATATTATTGGATATGATAAATCACGAAGAGTAAATACATCTTCTGCATTCATTGACAACAACAATTTTGAGCCATACCAGTAATTGTCTTCAACTGTCATTGGTTTTTACCATCCCGAGGATCCCAACCAGACTGGCAGTCTACACCTCTCTACGTGGCTGGTTGGCTGGCTTAAACAAACTGTTGTGAATTTCATTGCCTGATACATCCTACGTCAGTCAGCTAACATTGCCGGTAGAGGAATGAGATGGCTAGGGATGTGTAGCAACACATGTCCTAAGCATCTTAATTTGTGTAACTGCACAGCCTCATCGATTGATTTGCCCTCCTAACCCAACACTCGCAGCCTAACCTCAATATTGCTCATTCTATTATACCACCCAACACCAGAGGTAGAAGGCAGACACCCATGATCAAAGACAGCTAGCCGGTTTTTTCGTGTCTTCCAATATCAATGGCCATGTCTCACTTACAGCCATAAATTAGGACAGAGCAAACTGCTGAGCAGTTCGACAGCCGGATATCACGTCTACTCCAGAGAGGGCGTAAGTTGGCAAATGCCAAACGAGCCTTCTGTATCCGTGCTGAGATTTCGTCAGTGATCAACCCACTGGGGTTGGCTGATGTAACTTCCCAAATAAGTGAAGTGATCAACAGGCTCAGCCATCACTTCACTCCCTATCTTTAAGCTGGGAGTTGATGTAATCCAGTCCAGTCCTGTAACTTCATCATCTTACATTTGACCAGGGGAGCGAATCTCATGCCAAACATTCGAAGATTGCTGCTCAGCTCAAGGTATTCATAAGACTCTGCATTTTGTCAGTCTCTTCACCATCTAAGAAGACTGTATCATCCTCATATTCTAAGTCAACGAGATTATTCCCTCCCTGGTAACAAGTCAATCCCTGAGTCTCTGAAGTCACTTAGGGTTAAGTCCATAAGTATATCTATGACGAAATCAAACAGAAATGGGGACAATGGGGTAACATCCATGATGGACACCATTAGTTGTCACCACTACAGATGACATCTCGCCGTAAGCTCTTACCTGGCTGCATGAATTCGAGTGGAGTGCCTTGATCAGTGCAATATATTTCGTATTTTTCATTCTACTAGTATTTGTTCCTTACTATCAACCATATTAAATAAAATGTAGTCAGAGTGAAGCCGAGAATTACGGTTCAGTCAGTCAGTGGGAAAACTGAATTGGCTCGAACACATTGTTATTATTATTGTTTCCATTAGTTTCTAGAGGAACATAGGGCTTCAGCCACACGTCTCCATTGCGTTCGGTTCTCTGAAAACGTTTCCATCACCTGGCTGCACGTCTGTCCGCATGCTTTCATCTCCTCTTCACATCACCTCCTCCATCTCCCGTTCGGGTTCCACTCGAGGGCCTGTTTTGTGATGTCACTTGATGGTAGTTTGTTTTCTCAGAGTATGGCCAATCCAACACCTCCATTTCTTCCTGCATATTTGTTGTACAATTGCTTCCTGCTGGGTTTGTTGGTTGGGTTTTTCGTTCATTGTCAGAGATCCCTCCCTGTTTCTGATTTTTTCTGGCCAGCTATCTGATCTTGAGTAGCATTGAGCAAAGACAGCTGTAGATGAAGGTCTGTGTTTTGTCCTAAGTGCCCTTCATGACGCGCCAAGTCTCTAATCCACAAAGTAGCACTGACTTCACACTGTAGCTGAAAATCCGGATCTCATTTTCATTTTAATGTTGAGTGCTGTTGACTTCCACACAGACTTGAGAGTAATGAAAGCTTGTCTTGCTTTCCCTATCCTCGCTTTGATATCCTCATCAGTTCCATTGGCCTGTAGTTGAAACGATGCTTCCCAGATAAGTAGTTAGGTAAAGGAAGTTGCTTCCTTCAGATTTCTGCCGCTTATACTGATTGTTGCCTATTACTGTCGCTGTGTTGTCGACTCGAACACATATATAAATTATATTACTGAGTAATTTTTCTTCAAAAAGACAAAACTAATATTTTCGAAAGTTCTTCTGAATCGATTGAATTTTTAATTTTTTTTAAATTACATTGCTGGGGACAAGAATTCAACACAGTTGCTTTTAGCAACTAAGATGATCAGGATCCCAATGTTTGATTTTTGTGATCGCATAAACGGTAATCAAGAAAGTTAGTTTTAGGGCATAAGATTATATACTACTGGCTGATTGACATGAGTAGTTAAACTCTTGATGGTTTGAAATGATTCAGCTGTCTGGCTTGAGTCAATCTGTTTACACCCGGCCAGCAAACGAGCAAAACGGCCATCCGATATTTAGATCACTTCAGTAATTAGACTAGCGAATACTACTATTGAACATGGAAGTTTTTCCAGGTAATTATATGGTGAGAGCTGTCTGCTGGCCGAAATTGGTAGACAGCAATTTACATCAAATTTTACGTCCCAAATCTTGGTCATCAGAAAAAGAACGGCAACAAAGACCAACTCAACAACCAATCACAGCAGAATTAGCGTGGGCGGATATGGTCTGACCTTCAAAGAAACGATCACAAAGAGATGACAGATTAACTTTCAGCGAGAAAACAACCAATCAGGAGACACTGTTTCTCTGCTAATAATAGCGAATAATAATGTACGTAGAAATCTATAAGTATCCGTTGATTTCCTCAATAAACGATCTGATGTTTGCTCTTGTCTTCTACCGTTACAATTATACTAATTTCTCCGCATTTTTAGCAACTTATTCAATTTTGTTTTGGTCAGATTTCAAATTGAAATATTAATTTACTTAAAGCACAATAGAAATGAAGGTGATACTTACCTCAAAAAATAAAATTTGAATTGCTGTCATTGATGATATAACCAATGCATGAAATGAGAATACGATATCGTTCAGTAATACCGGGAGAGAAGAAAAAGGATATTTTCCAAAGTATTGTTTCTATAAGAGTATGAAAAAGACATAAAGATACACATTAATTATATTAGACTTATTGGATTTATTGGATTTCCAACAGGTTGCAGACTTTCATTAACAGCTGGCTCCATAGTGAAGATCAGTTGGCCAGCCAGAAAGAATTAGTTACAAGAAACTGCGGGAACAAACCAACCAAGAACAGATCGCTCAACAACAAGAGATTGGACGGGGTGGCGATGGGTCCCATTTTGGCTGGTTCCTTTCTAAGTAAGCTAGAAAATGGACCTTTAAACAACTTAATCAGAAAGTTTTCATTTTATTGCCGGTATATGGACGACACCTTCATTCTTTGTGATAGTGATTCGGATGGGAGTACAATAATTACTGAATTCAATGAAGCACATTCAGTTATCAAATTCACTTGCGAAGAAGAATCCCAAAACAGAATTGCCTTCCTGGATGTCCTCCTTACAATCAAAACCAGATGGTAGCATAAAAGGAAATTTGCATAGAAAGAGTACTTGGACAGGACAATATACACATTTTCTCAGCTTCATTCCTCTCAAGTACAGAAGAAATTTAGTAAAGACCCTCAGCCACAGAATTAAAGCTATTTGCTCAGAAGAAGTAATTGAAGATGAATTAAGCATTATATATGATACTTTGATCGAAAATAGCTATCCGAAAAATTTATCAAGAGACACATGACAAAGAAAGCGGAAAAGGACTACTCACTATCTGTAAACAAGAAGCCTCTTTATATACGACTACAATTCAAGGGTGACATACCAAGTGAGATAATTACGAGGAAATTAAGAAAATCAGTTCAAAGAGCTTTTAATACTGGTGAACTGCACGTATTATTCTCCACACGACTTATGGTACTACCTCGACTGAAAGATGAAGTACCTAGACTAGCTAGCCACTTCAAATTGTATTTATCAATTCAACTGCGCTTGTAGAGCGAGCAATATCGGCCGTTGCTCTAGGAACTTGATTTTTCGTGCTAGAAAACACCTCCCTGTGTGGCTAAGTAAAGGTGTGGTGAAAACCATCAACAGTTCGATATTGGACCATCTGGTACAAACCGGCCACAAAGCCAGCATTGAAGTATCCTTCTCTGTCATCTACCGGGTGCCAAATAAATTGCCAAAACATCGAAGCACCGCATGCTCCAAACAGCAGAGGCTATTGCAATTCACCTCAGACAACCAGTGCTCTGTGTTCAAAAGAAGCAAGTCCATCCCCTACTACTGCCCTGACCGGCCTTCAGTAGAGACTATAAATTCATGAATTTGTAATATTATCTTTCCTAATTTTTCTGACATTCAGCTTATTTTATGTTGATGCTATTGATATTAATGTTATTATTGATTCGATGTTAGTTAAACAAAATTAATGTTGTTCATAACACTAATTCATTCATTCACTATAATGTATATATAACAGTAAAGCCTGATGATGAAGTTATCCAAAAGAGTATTCATTGTTCAGTATCCATTCTTTTGTAAATATTTAGGAGAAAATGAAGATGGATTGGGCATACACTGAGGAGACCGCCAAATTACATCGCACGTCAGGCAAGTGCTCGAGTGAAAGTGGAATAGGAAGCAAAGAATGGGTCGTCCTAGGGTGACGTAGAAGAGATCGTGTGAGGAAGAGATGAGAGATTGTGGGAAGTCGTGGTTCAAGCCGAAGAAGGCAGCAGAAGACAGGACAAAATGGAGACGTGATGTTGAAGCCCTATGTTCCACTTGGCACCCAAGTGAATGATAAAAACATAATACTGCATATAATGCCTTTTTTACATCCCTCTGCGATGTTCCGAGTGAAACACAACGCTTTAAGCTTCAGCTTTGACGTTTCACCAACTATGACGTCTTTAACAGGAAGGGATTTATACTCTCACGCCCAACCTTTCTCCTTTACCAACTTGCTACCGGTTAGGTAAGGCTTAGGAGGATGATGACTGGGAATCTAACCTGGAGCAGATGTGTGGTTGGCGAACATGGCGAACTACTGAACCACCAATTCACACTGGACATAATACAGAGAGAGATAGTTTATGACATTCTTAACAATTAGGAAATATATATATCATAGCTAGTGAAATGAAAGAAAGCATTCCATCAGTGACTGAAATGTTTCTTGAACTATTTATATCAAATGATTTAATATTCTTCTGATATGTGACCACTTTATAGCGTATAATACGTAGACTGTGGTTATTGGCCTACTGAACCACCACCTTCTTCAACAAGCAATGTCAGATGAGGCATAGTTAAGTTGGAAAAGAGTGGAAGGTGATCAGGTCACAATATGACACCAGTATAACATTATTATTATTCCTCATGGATTCCGAGTGCGACACAAGGCTTCAGTAACACATGGCTATTCTACTATGTTCTCTGAAGTGTTCATTAGCTGACTCAACAGCTGTCTATAAAATTTTATTTCCTCCCCTCCTTGACTCCAGTTTGGGTCCCACTCGAGTGCTTAACTCGTGTTCTCATTTAGTATTCTCCCTAGAGTATGTCTAATCGATCTACATTTCCTTCTGCGTACTTGTTGAGCTATGCTTCCTTAGAATACTGGCTATCAGAATTCTGAATGTCAACCTGATATTCAGTATGGAGCCAGTGGAAGCACCTGTTGATGAAAATCTGTACCGTGCTGGGAATTCGTTTCGTGATAAGTATGAAGTCTGTGAAACATAAAGAAAAACTGATTTGACCTTCCTTATGCTGATTGCAGTAGATACCCATACTATTTTCAGAGGAATGAAGTTCTTGATAACTGTTACGATCCTTATACGTCCTGTCTGTAGTTGAAGCGATGCTGTCTAGCAAGGTAAGCGAAAGAGGTGACTTCCATTAGGCTTCTGCTATTGATAGTAACATCATTCTATTAAGCAGTCTGTTGTTACTATATCTGTGGATGTAATTTGTTGGATATGGGTCTTCGACGCGCCTGTCGGCAAACCACGAATGAAGATTCTTGATAAGCTGGCTGGAAGTTATTCACAGTGATTTACATCTACTGACAGATGTACAGTAATGATATAAATCCTTCAAGATTTATACCAAGACAGAAAGCAAAAGAGAAAAATATCCACCTTCTTGTCAGATCCTTTCAGTGGCTGAGAATTCAAACTTCAAGCTAATCATCAACATTTTTAAATTGGAGACTAGAAGTTGAAAATTTTGACGAAATCTTGAAATCTAGTGAATAAATATTTTCAAAACTAATCACGAATTGATTTCGGTTAGAGAACCACTGAAAACCGGGGAACACAACTGAACGTATGTTTCCTCTTAGCTCGGGACTCTCCGGTAATACTCACTCGTGGGTCTACCAGGGGTTGAACTCTGGATATTCAGAACATTCAGCCACCCACCAATTCTAACTCCTGCCAGTTTTCGAAATATAACGTGACCTTTGACCGTTGTCATCGGCAAGTACTTTTCCTCACACTCAACTGGGTGGATCCTGTTGGATATGACTTCTCGCTTGAAATTTAGGTAACTTCACCTTGTAGTCAGTCACGAGTGAGTACTAAATTAATTTTCAACTATTCGTTTGTAGGGATTTGGTTATAGTCATGGGCGTGTATTGGTAAAGGGTCCCAAACAACGGTGGAATGAGTCTCCAGTACTCTCTGATTTCCATAGCTTCCATAACTGAAGTCAGTTCCTTTTTAATCTAGAAATCAATCCAACCCCTTCAAATCGAAACTTGAGAATACATGTTTACATATATTTAACTGTCATCATACTGTAATACTGTGGTGAGAGCTGTCCATTAGCCAAAATTGGTAGATAGCAATTCGCATCAATGTTTATATCCCATATCTTGGTCATGAGAAAAAAACAAGAACAAAGACTAACTCAATAACCAATCAAAGCAGACTTTGCATGGGCGGATACGATTCGCAGGTATACAGCCTGACCTTCAAAGAAGCGGTCACAGAGAGATGACAGATTGACTTTCAGCGAGAAAACAACCAATCAGAAGACGCTACCTCTCTGTTAATAATAACGAATAATAATGTAAATAAAAATCTATAAATATCTGTTGATTTCCTGAATAAACGATCTGTTGCGTGACTCTTGTCTTCTGTCTTTAAAATACTATCTCATATACTCTTTATCATGGCTTCCAAAATTAATATCGGTTTTAAAACGGACCCGCCGCAATCAGCTCAAGTCCACTTCGTTCCTGTTAATGACGCTCTAACCACAGAAGCAGAGTAAACAAAGTTTTGTAACAAAGAAATCTGTTCAGTTCCCAGCCGCGTCACCGTCTTGGACCTTTCTTCTTTCAAAAAGGTTAAACATCACCCTACTCTGAGGTAATTTTGGTCGCAAACCGTTATCATTTCGTCAGTAGTTATGAACCCAGAAAAACATTAGAAAACTATTTCATCTTTTGATCTGAGAGTCTTCAGAGTTTCGCGACTATCGCTCTACCAGAGTCCAAGTCTAGAGGGCGAGAGTAAACAATAGACACTAAATTCAAATGACCTTGAGTTGACCGATCAGCATTACAATTGAATGCCAGTCATAATCCTCGTTGAAAATGTCACCTATGTTTGGTTTTTGACTTCTCTGTGGAAAATGGGCTGATAGGTAGGACGAAAATATGCATATATGGAGGGATAATGACTCTGCAAGAGTATTGCTGGGCTATTGATGGTTATGCATTCAGATGCAACCACTTTATATAAGGAAGTCTGTAAGAGTTGGTAAGTCATACATAATGGTGATTTTTTAGACACTTCCTTCTTGAAATCGAAACCCTCCCTTGGTAATATATTGCGTATTTGCTACCAGTATCTGCTTCAGATGCAGAAATAGAGAATGTACTGCTTCTATGAGAAGCTGGGGCCAGGTTTCGCAGCACATTAGAGATATATACTCTGTAGGATTCATTTCTATTACATACACTTTATAAATTAATTAACACTCTTCACCTAGAATAACCTGATTGGCTGCTTCAGGGTTGTCTGAAGTTGGTGTCTATTCTTTAAATGTTGCCGTCCGGAGTTTCGAACGAGCACATGATCACGCATTTACTCTCTCAGAATTGATTTCAATTCCAGGAATTCTGAATTCTGTCATTCAACGCGACACCTGTCTTAAAATCAACTGCATATTTTTTCAAGTAGGTTTTATACACAACTACATTAGAATGTTGTGACAATATGAGTTGATTTCATGTTAGGGATAATGATGATGTAAGCATGAAACATGTCGGTCGGTCGGTTTTCGACATAGAAATTTGCACATATGTGCGGCAGTTCAAGTCGCAACACTCCCTCCTTGTAGCACACAAAGCAAGAGAAGAAAGTCGGAGAAATGCATAGTATAGACAGTAAACAGAGGTGTGAGACAAAGGAATAGTAATAATGAAGAACAAGACAGTTTCATTGGAAATCATAAGTCACAAGAAGTGGATGCATCTGCGCCACTGAGCACGATTTTGAGCCATGTCACCAATTGTTTCCAACCATTGGTTTTTACCGTCCCGAGGACCCCAACCAGGAAGTCTACATCTTCCTACGTGGCTTAGAATAACTGTTGTAGATTTCATAGACTGGTGCCATGTTTCGTTTGACCGCCGCTAGCTCTTTTCCAGCCTGGCCCTATATCAGCTAACATTGCCCGTTGTCGAGGAAGGCGATGACTAGGCATTCGTAGCACATGTCTCAACCACCTCAGTCGATGTAATTTCACAGTCTCGTCTATTGATTTCCCCACCTTACCTAGCACTCGACACCTAACCTCAATATTGCTCACCTTATTATACCACTTCACGCGGGAGATGGAACGCAGACACCTATGATCGAACACAGCTAATCTTTTCATGTCTTCTGCTCTCAATGGCCATGTCTCACAGCCATAAAGGAGGACAGAGCGGACTGTTGAGTAGTACACACGCCCTTTGGTCGATAGTCGGATATCGCGTCTACGCCAGAGACGGCGTAAACTGGCATATGCGAAACTAGCCCTCTGTGTTCGTGCTCACACACTATCCCTAGTTTAGTGTCAAATTTTCAGCAGAATGAAAGACCTGTTTATTCAAGAAATACAGTTAATGCAGTTATAGAACGAATGAATAGATTACATAATCATAATTAATAATTTAATTGAATCACAAACTTGTATCAATGGAATCCAAAATAATCCAATATTATAAATACTATAGTAGAGGAATCCAATAACATTCAACACGGCGAAGTCAAAATTAAATCCAACCACACTAGATAAAGTAAATACCGAAAATACAACATACAATTCAATGAGAGGTGAATTTCATATGAGAAATTAACATTAACACTTCTAACTAATAGAAATTCGCTTTTAACAACCCACCAGTTATTACTTCCATTGTGAAGAAATGAAGTTAACACAGGACGAAAATATCGACAAAATGCGTCAATGGTCCAGCGGCAGAACGCTGTTCAACCATTCATGGGGTCTGGGGTTCAATCCCCCCCCCCCCCGCGGCGGCTGATACACTCCTAGACCTCACTAAGGCGGTAGTGAGGTTAATAAAGGGGGAAGGTCAGCGTGAGGTTAGCAACCCCATCCCGCAAAAATAAAAAGAAACCACTACTACCGAAACATCAAAGCTCTCGTTTAAAGCCCTATTGTTCCACTTAGAACGTTAGAGAACAAAATAAAAATAAATCATAAATAAAGCAGAAAGAGGAAACCTAATGTAATGCGGTAATTTTTTACAGTGTATTTGGATTCGATAAATTCAAGGTTATATTAGAAGGCTGAAGACAGTTGGCAGAAGGAAGCCTTGAACCTAGGTTTCGTGCTAGTTGGCACTCATCAGCAAGGCGTATCTGCAACCTAGAAGGAACTCGTTTCCTTTCTGAGATCCGAACCCACATCACCCAGTGCTGCAATCAGAGACGTCACCGCTGAGCTATTTTGGCTCGCGATTGACCTCCTGTAGGAATTTATTGATTCAGGGACCTGACATGAACATCAAGAAAAGTATTTTCAACTGACTTCCGACAAAGTTCCTCCAACAGCTGCTGTCTTCGCCATGTACTGAAGGTCAGATAACTGTAAAGGATAAGGAATAAGGAACTCTTCTTACGAATTTACCCAGAATCCATCTCCCAGCCAATGTGTGGAAGGAAATAGAAGTGGACTGGATATACGCCGAGAGACGTCTCGTGCCAGACTTTTCAGTGAAACCCTGATGTAAATCAACAATTTAGGGGGGAGAGGGGGATCCAAGGATGACATAGGTGGGGGGTCATACTGGGAGGAAATGAGAGCTTAAAAGCTATCGAAAGGCTAGTTTAAAAGGACTGCAGACAGAAGGGGGAATGGAAGTGTGCTACTGACGGCTTATATTTCCCTCATATCACTGTGTGTCACATGAGATGAATTTATACATTGTAGAATTTTATTCTACCGCAGAAACATCAAGACAGAAACCATCCCCAGCCAAATCACAGTACCAAAGAAGACACTGTTTATGAGTTTGGCGTTCAAATGTCGTTTATCTAAATGTATTAAATGCTGCTTTTGTGCAGCTGACTTACTTACGTTTGGTATTTACCAGATGAAATGTGATTCTACAATTCATTAAGGATAAACTACCGCTTGTGTTCAACTCTATGTGCATATACTCATTCACATGCTTGTGTTGAGCTGCTGATTACAATGGACGTTGTAAGCGTGTTCTCAGTAAACGCGTAGCTGAACACTGCCACCCCATTCGGTTAATGAAAGGCGAGAATTGAACAACGGAGTCTTCAATTTGTGAACACATTCTGGAGTCGGGTCATTCAGCACCACGTGATTTATCCTTCAAAGTTATTTACAGGATTAAATCCAACCACTCTAAAAGCTTATGTTTTCTGCACTTATGAATAGTCGAAGCTCTAGGTATACATGAACGCTTTCTTAAGCCCGTTTCCTTACCTTGATCGCAGTTATGTTCTTTCATTTTATTTTGTTCTATTTTACCACTTGAACTCAGTCCACTTCACTTCAGCTTCGAAGTCTTTAATTTTTTCATCATCGTACTGTCAATTTTTTAGACAACACTTGACTTAGAATTCGAGAATCTTTATACCAGTTCACTTATTTAATGATCTGTAAAAGTGTTGTAATTCATCCACTTCAACTCTAATCCCTTAGTAGTACATCATTTTAATTATATTTGTTCTTATCACATATTCGGTATTGACCGAGCAATTTCTAGTGCCACTTAATGTCTCCTTTTTCCGTAATATAAATACGACTGTACAGTTGGCGTGAAAATGAAGTCGTTCAAAAGAAATAGTATTTCTTCACTGAACAAAAGAAACTGTGTTTTTTACCTTATGAATAAATGAGTATATATTTCGCAGTTCTATCACAGTGCCTGAATTTTCACCCTTACCAAAAGCGCTTCCAACAGCCTACTGAATATATTCATCAACATCAACCTTGGCTGAGTAGTGAAGTTGAGATCTACAGAAGAGATAAGTAACTAGGAACTCTGTTAGGCATCGAATGAACTAGCCAACAAGTGTGCAGAAGACAATGAAGGGGGATTGGATATACACTAAGGAGACAATTAAGTGACACTGCGTGTTAAGGCCCTGGAGTGGAACCCTACTGTGAGTTGACGATTTGTAGGTAAGTCCAAGGTTGATATGGAGGCGGTTTGATGCTATGCAGAGAGGAGGTGGGAGGTGGGCGCTGGAGAAATGAGGGCTTATAGGCAATCTTACAGCATCATTATTGTCCCCAGGGTAAAGAGAAATGAATGTGTAAAAGCAAGCAATAGTAGAAAGCATACATACATACATACATATGTACATAAACTACCTTTTACGTTTCCAATTCAATAAAAATTGTGGATAAAATGAAACTGTCCATGCACCAAAATATAACCATCCGCTTATAATTTGTAGCATATATACCCAACGATTGCGTACAACAATGACTTCACATTGAGTTGTATTCACACTAGAAATAATTGATTAAATTATGTTTTACAATTAAATAACAAGGGAAAATATATATTAGTAGTAATTAAAATTTTCCTTATTGTTTTTTTCTATGCAAAGAGAGACAGTGATAATTTGCTTGATGATGTCTAACAATGGAATCCAGGACGAGGATTTCATCCCATTTACAAGCTGTTAACTGGATGTTTGTATATCGCAGTGAGTGACGGCGTTGTCATGGAGGCTGGAGTCCAGCACCTACTGTTTCGAACTTCAAATCATTATTCACTAGGCCAGGGAACTAGGGGAGCCACTTATTCTTATTCTTCTTCGATAGATATCAATCCCTGTTTACTGGAAATATATTCTTGAAATTTTTCCATTGTGATTGAACATTTCCGTGGAAAATAGACATCAAGAGATTAGAGAGATAGAAGAGAACAGGAAGTTCAGTAAACAGACGTATCTTCATCAAAGCGATTTCATCCTCAAAACCACCTGTACAGTCGCATTTTTATACATTCATATTCACACACAGTTACAGTTATTATTTGAGTATTATTGGTTTGTAGGGATTTTTTGTTTGGTTGGTTACAGGATTTCATTATGAGCTGAGAACCGTTGGAGAACCTGTCAGGGAGTACTGGATAGCTGTTCACATTGTCCGCCTAGTTGGGACTCTTCATCAGTATGCACCTATCCCATTGGTGTTCGAACCCAGGACCTCCGGGTTACAAGGCTAGAGAGCCTTTAGGCCATTACGCCAATAGGACCTGATCCAATGTCCAACTTCTGCCAATTCACAACATAGCGCAACCACTAGCCAATGTCTTTGGATATTATTACCATTATAACTCAGTTCAACAAAGTAATAAAGGCAGGTTTTCGACATGATATGATTGCTTGATGGTATGGGTACAGATCAGTATGGCCATGAAAGCAAAATTACATACGGTTAGAAATTAATTGTAAGATAGTTTTTTATGTAGACAGTTGTGAACGGGATGAACACGGAAACAAATTGCAGTGAAAACTTTTATAACTGAAAATTTAAAAAATAATGAAGGGAATGGAAAAACGAAAACCGAATTGTTAGACCGAGTTAGCCCCGTGGTAAATGTGTACTTCTGACTAGCTTCTTTTGAACGCATAGCTCCAGCTTTTTTATGAGTGCGATGAGGGTTTCTGAAATAGAGAGAAGCCTAGAACATGCTGTCGTTGGTAGATTTTCGTTTTGATTGGACACTGGTCAGTTAGTAACTAGTGTAGTGTGTGTGTGTGTGTGTTTAGTCATATCTTAGGCGCGGACTGAATTCTATCAGTCAGTCAAGTCTGCAATATGGCCACCATGCCACTGGGTGGCTCGCCATCACGTTACACTCTGAATTGTTGGTATTAGCTCAGTGGTAACGTCTTTGATTTCAGTACTCACTGGGTGACGTGGGTTCGAGTCTCACAAGGCACATCAGTTATTCCTTCAAGGTTGCAGATACGCCTTGCTGACTGACTAGTGAGTGCCAGCTAGCACGAAACCTAAGTGAGGTAGGGCTTCCTGTGGCCGATCGCCTCCGTGATGGCAAGCCACCTAGAATGGTGGTTATATTGCAAACGTGACTGATAGACTAGACAAACATTACACTAGTTACTGACTAATGTCCAGTCAGAAGTATATGTATATATGTTTACATGTATATTACAAAATATAAGTGTTTTGTAGTATGCATAAAGAGATATACTTACTTAACAATATTTAAATTATCCTTCGTCTTTATTTTCAAATAAACTTTACCACTTGACTTGGCCCATATAGTGACAAAAGCAGCCTCTGTATTCTCGCCTTCTAAACTGAAGTCGGAGATGAAATCAATAACGGCATGGTTTGAATCCTCCAATGAAATTTCACTACCATTTCTATCCCATTGGGTTAAATGAAATTCTGTATAATATTCCACAGAGTGACTGTAAAGAAATAATAATAATAGTCTTCAAGTGTTAATTTGTAGGGGCTTAATTAGTTTCAGGTTTTGACCTCAGATTGATATCAATCAATTAGACGGCTGAATAACTATTTCGTCTTTGTTTGGAACTCTTCAGAAGTATGCTGTCATGACCATCCTCTACGCTTAAGAATCGTATCCAGAATTTCCAGGCGACAAGGTGTGCATTCAGAAACATGCCCATGAATTCTGCCCTCTTTCAGTCTACATTATTTTGTGTTGCATCCAGTTAATGTTATAAGAGTTCGACTTGAAGGAAGTTCTTGTGTTTGACTTAAGGTGGGGTCATGTATGCCTCCTTCTAATATGTTCAGAACTAAAAAGAAACAGCTATTCAATACTGCCTTATTTCTGTTGGTCTTCTAACCGATATTAATCCGTGACCAAAGCTCTCAATAAATGACGATATTTCCACTGGACTCGAACCGAGAATACATCGAGTCAGTTATTAAAGCCTTATCGACCCAGTCATTAGGATACACCTGTTGTTTAAGTAACCTAGCTTGGTGTCCTTGATGGAAACTTGACTGACAGAATTCACTCAGCACTAACTTTAAGGACTAGTCACATGTCGTTGGTGTTCAGACAGTGCACAGATATACAGTACAGTTCCAGTTTTTCTGTTGTGATGTTTCTGACTGCAGCAGTAGATAACGTTGATGGAAATCCCCGAGGTAGTGAGAGTCCTATGCTAATGAATGTCAACAAGTCTGAAGTCTAGGTCAGACGAAGGTTTATACTAATCGCCTCCAGCCAACTGACAAAAAATATGGATTTTATTCAAATCATTAAGTTGTATTTTGCGAAGAAAAGCTCTAATTATTAAATACAGTGAAAAGTAATTTACCTTTAGTAATGACCAAAAATGATAAGCAAAAGAACCAACCGTTAACCTATCGCCGAACAAACATACGGGGGAAAATGAAATTAGATTTTGAAATACGCTGAGTAGACCACTGAGTAGTGTCTGATGCTAGGCCCTCCAGTGGAACCTGAATGGGAAACGGCAAGTTCAGTATCCAAAAGTGACATGGGGGAGATAATGTGAGGAGGGAGAAAGGTGAAAGCTTGCTGGCAGTCGTGCAACCAGCTAATAAAGACTGTAGAGGACAGAGTATAATGGTGATGTGCTTCTGAAGCCTTATGTACCTCTCTGAACCTGAGGAAATAATAATAATAATGGTCAACAACACAAATGACGGTAATTTTCATGATCATTCAAACTACATTTACATTTTGTATTATTAAAGATTTATTTCTTTATATTAGACAAACTATTCTGTACAGAAGTTATCACTTGAACATCTACAGTACATAGTTTAATACTCAATTCAACAGTTTACATAAATTTAAAAATTATCTATTTGAAAGTCACTCAGTTATAATTTCAAATGTCTTGAATATTAGTAACTGTCTTCATGATGTTAGTATCTGTACGATTACGTCTTTGAGACTACTATTACAATGAAAATCCATCTTACCGCACTGACAAAATGTCAAGTTGAGTGAGTAGTCGTAATCAATTGAGACCACTGAGTCAGGTATGAGGACAAGTACTCATGGTATGATGGATTCCTGAGATAACTTTGAGAACTTTAATTAATGACTTTTCAGGTTATGTGTGGCTATTTCTTTGGTGAGGGAATGCGTGAAAGATCCCCACCATATTTTAAAAGGTAAACCACAAACATCTAATTTTGGTGGCTTAGTTGTAGGATATTTCGTCAACTAATGAAATTAGTAAGAATTACTGGTAGAATAAATGAAATCGATGAGATTGCTCGCTATTCTCAACGATGTTTTTACATAAATAACCTTTCTGTAGCATTTTAACACAAGTAGTTAGTTTGACTGTTAGCCAGGTTGCATAATTCAAGATTTAAATTCTTAGAGTGGAGGGATGTAAGTGTTGTGTGCCAGTCCCCCTTTCTTGAAAATATGACCTTCCTATTATCACCGTTACGTGTTTCGTAGACTAACTGAATCCACGAATTTCGTAGAAGACCAATATAAAACTTATTACATCCACAGTCTCTTAAGGAAACTTGCTGGTCTAAAAGTCCGAAATTACTTTTATTATATATATTTTATTAAATTAACTTTTTATGGGGTTATTTATGAAGTTCATAGGAACTAAAATTACTGGAATTCCGCTCATGAAAACCAGAAACTTCTTTGTTGATAGTAAACGAAAATAATGGATTAACCCCTTACAACTCTGTAAGATAATAATACGAAATGGAGTGTGGATTAACGCTATTTCTTTTTTATGAAGATAGTCTTGTAGTAGACATGCTATTTTACATATTGTGATTGCTTCAACCATGAAGTAAAGTATTTCCCATTCATTTAATCATATTTCTGTCGAATAATTCAGCTACCTACCTCTTGCTTCTAATTTTACCGATACAAACTTCCTGTTATAACTTCTAGTTGTCTTCTTATCTGACAGTTTTAAAAAGGCATTTCACCAGCTTTTTAGGATGCTAAGAGCTGTGAAAAGCTGTCTGAAGAATGAATGAATGGATTTCAGTCAGATTCGAAAACAGCCGACAGTTCTTTCAGCTAATGAGGACGTCATGGGTTTTCTGTGAAAAGTACGTAAAAGTATAGCGGAAACTAAAACTACTTCTTCCTTGGAAAAATTCAGATGATTACGGGAAACAGGAATTATGGACTAAAGAAACTATAAACTGCGTATGTATTTAATAGCAAAGAGGTTTATTTTTCATCTCAATTCCATAAAATTAATATGAAGATACAGATACTCATCTGTTAGTCGACTAACTAACAGTTAACTAACCGCAAATGTGTTTGCACATATGTTAAAAATAATTGTGAAATTCTCACAATGAATAATGGAGCGAGAGATTAAATGACATAAATGCATCAAATACTAATTTGATTGCATACATGTGATATACATAGTGGTATCATAATAAGTTCATTTAACTTACTTCAAGCCTACTTTTATGACCTCCGACTCACCCACTTCCATAAAAACTGATTTAGGTTCAAAATAAACTTCATATGAGTCATCGGATTTAACATTTCTCCCGAAACTATATAGAAAACAGAAGATAGCCAACACTCGGCTTAACATTACTAATTCACAGATGTGACTTTAAGACGACACCCTACAACCTTCACAGTTGCATAATCTAAACAAATACCCCCTCAACAATACACATTACCAAATGGCTTTTGATAAGCCAAATAGACATTATATTCGAACTTAAAAGAGTGTAGAGAACGCCTAACTCTTCCGTTAAGTGATCAGTATACTTTTGTCGTTTTGTCAACAACGCCATTTATTGGCTGAGTATAGAAGGCTTAAAGCCTATTTTAATCCTTTTCTAGTAAATTTCTGTGCTTGTTCAAACCATTCTTCAATGAATCAGTTGGCGTTGAAGATGCCACTTCGTTTGGGAATTGCTTCCAGGAGTTTATGATTCGGTGTGAGGACCAGTACTCAATGGCGATGTGGTTACTTCCTGGATTTTGAACTCTCCTGCTATGTCCTCTAAGGTGTACCGACCTGGTGGGAAGGAAAAGAGAGAATAGGTCAGGTCCGTAGTCATTATTTGAAATTTTAAACATTGTGATCAAATCTCCTCTTTGCCTACGATATGACAGGGAGAAGAGATTTAAACTGTCTAGTCTTTCCTTGTATGATAAATTATTCATGCCACGAACCACAGGTGTTGCCTTCCTCTGAACCTTTTCTAGAATGTGTGAGTCCCCTTTAAGACAAGGAGTGGATGTCTGGATACAGTTTTCCAATCTTGACCTCACCAGAGTTGTATATAAGGAGGTGAACATATCTCTGGTATTTCTAGTAAAGGCTCTGCCCATAAGGACCTGAAACTACGTGCCGCCATCGCGCGAGTGTGCTGTAATTTTTAAGTCGTGACTTACTATGAAACCTTAATCCAAATGAGTCTGAACTGATGGGAGTGTTATTCCTCCTAGTTCGTAGGAACTGATGCTTGCTCGTCCAATGCGCATGGCTGAACATTTCGCTACATTGATTGGGAGCATCCACTCTTCGTACCACTTTAGCAATTAGTCAGGGTCTTGCAAGGTGAGCGTATCACTGTCGCCCTCCAGCTCTCCAGATCTTGAAGTCATCTGCGTATAGGACCACTAGGGGATCCGTGAGTACAGATTACTCAGTGGTATACAAAATGAATAGGAGAGGTCCGAGTACTGTGCCTTGTTGCTCTTCGCCGCGCACTGTTGTCCCGGAGGAAAGTTTCGAGTTGATCCTAACCCTCTGCCTCCAATCTATGGAGAATTCCCTGAGCTAGTTTTGTAAGCTGCCTTTGATTTTAAGACTTTCTAACTTCATGAATAATCTTTTGTGAGGAACTTTTACGAAGTCTTTGTTGAAGTCTATGAAGACGACGTCAACGAGTCTCCTGTTGTCCCTTGATTTGACCCAGCTTTCTCTTACAGTAGGGAGATTTGAAAGGCACGAGAGGTTTCTTCGGAAGCCGTGCTGTGCTCTGGATAACCTTTTGTTATTTTCCAGATGTGTCACGATACCTTTCTTGATGATTCTTTCCAGTATCTTGATCAAAGTGCTGGTGAGACTAATAGGCCTGTAATTTGAAGAGCTTTGTCTTGATCCTTCCTTGTGGATTGGGGTTACTATGGCGTCTTTCCAGTCACGCGGTAACATTTCATTTCATAGAGAGCTTGAAGATTCTAGTCAGTGGGCCAGCTGTTTGAGTTGATAGCTCTTTGAGAAGCCTTGGTTGAGTATTACCAGTTGAGCACGATGTCTTGGCCGACATCAACGTAGTCTATCCTGTGTTCCTCTGGCGCAGCTAGAGGTGATGCAATGGGGAGTTACGAGTACTGTGTACAGACCTTGGAGAAGTAGTCTGCCATTGCTTCTGCCTTTTCTTGATCCTCTTCGATTGTGTCACCGTAACCAGTCAGGTATGGGACACCACTGGATGTTTAATTACTGAAGTTCATATACGAGGAAATTTTCTAAGGTTGTGCCGTTGCATTTTGAGCCAGATTCATTTCGAACTTTACCCTTCATTTGGTGGATTTCTTTCGTAGCTCTTTTCCCAGCGATGGTGTATAACTTTCTGGTTTCAGAAGTCTCAAGTGTGATAAATGGGTTTCTGCATCTATGTTTACGCCTGAGTAATTTATGAATCTCTCGGTTTATCCATGGGGAGCAATGTTTTCTACCCTTTGGGACAGATCAAGGGATGAAATGTTCGGTTGCCTGAGCGTAAGTTTGCTTAAATTGGTTGCATGCAGCTTCTACTTGGGACTCTGGGTTGATGTGCCAGTTCACTGAGTTGGCTGCTGAGACGATCGCATTTATATTAGCCTTCCAAACGTTCGGTCGAGCTGTGGTTTTTGGACCGTGGTACTGCTGATGTTTACTTGAAAGTGAGCACAGCGTGATTACTTCTTCCTAAAGGAGGAGAATGTTGTATGAGGTCCACATCCTCACCATGGGGGAACACTAGTTCCAGAGTTGAGGAGGAGTGCTGTGAGTCATAGTGCGTGGAATTAATGATACGTTGGGCTACGGCTAGCGATATACTAGATTCCAGCAGTTTATGATCAAAGGAGCCGACTGAAGATGGAGTTGTAAGGCTCGTCCAGTCAACTGTTGGGGCGTTGGAGTCGCCGACTACGAGACTTCAAAATTTCGAAGTCAAGGAGCCTAGCTTCTCCATCAGGAAGTAATCTACACTGCGGTCAGGACAGCGGTGTGTAGCGATGAGTTCAATATCCTGGCCTATGCACCGAGGTCTGCAGCGTAGAATCTCGCATGATTCACTCTCATGTGCGAGAGCCTCGATGGTACTCACAATTAAGCTTTTCTTGAGATAGATGATTACGCCACCCCCTATGGGTCCTATTCGGTCCTCCTTATGCACTATGAAGTTTGGTAGATCAAATTCGTTATCAGTGACATTGGATGTGAGCCATGCCTCCTTAATGATAATGATATCCGGCTTCCGTAGTGTGTCACCATATTACCCAGTTCATTCTGTTCGTTCAACAGGCTGAGGGCATTTGTGTAGCAAACTGTTAAATCAGTCTGGTACTTCCGCGCTCCACCCACAGAGGTTTCGGGATCATAAGAATCCTAACCTTTACAACCAGAAAACCCTTAATCTTAAGGTTTTCCTCACCATTTCGGAGGTGTTCGCCTAATTCTAGAGCCGTAGACTGTATTTTGACGCGGTCTGCTAGGGGTAAGTCGACATGAACATATATGCCTGAACCTTAAAGAGTTTGAGAGTGGCCCAGAATGGCATACCTCTCTTCTTCTGAGTTTAGTACGACTTTGAGAAGGCTAACCGGCTGATTTACTGTCGAGTCAGGCCTTTGGCAGATTCTGTGATCGCGGAAAAGTGTGTTCAAATCTTTAATGTAATTCATATTTTTTATCATTCAGGTTGTAACCAGCTGAAAAGAATCCTGGAAATAATAAAAGATGAACTCATACTATCCTGGCGCAATTGCTGTTCTTGCTTTGTTCGAGATTCATTATAAGCTGTGTATAGTTACACCTGATACTGTTGTTGACAGTAGCTTATCCAAAAGAGCTTGACCAACTTAAGATCATGTTCGAACCTGACCTCAGGATTGGAGGCCGGCGATTCCCCCACTTTGTGGAGAATGAGCGACCTGCCGGACAGATAAGGTTTGCTTGCCGTGGAGTTAGCGTCTTTCCGCCCCTTGTGGACAGTGTGGCCTTTATGGTGTCCTTATCTTGCTTCTTCGAAAGACTGCATTACGCCATTCATTGGTGCCCTCCTCGCTATCTGTGGTCAGTTGTGACTGCCTGCTATCAACCGTTGTGGACAAAGCTTGAACTACAAGTCCCCTGGCGCCTTTAGATGAGTGTTTTTGACCCCTGGTACGCCTTTTCCTCGTGTCAGTCTTTCCATTACAATCACTAAAGGGCTTGTTAGGTATTAAAGTGGCAGCATGGGTTTCTGGAAGTGGTTGGTGCTCTTCTGTGCTGAAGGGCACTCACTTCTTGACACAGAGGCGTCAGAAACCTGTATTGTCTTTTCAATGACCCTAATCGTCTTGAAATCTTGAATTGTTTTGATAAATTAGGTATGCAGTATAATTTGCTGTGCACTGTTACAAGTGTTATAAAGGCACACTTGGTTGATCGTGGCTCTTCGCTGAAAAACTAAGTAACATGTGGGACTTCCTCTATTATGCACAGATCATTTATGTAGGCATAGAGTTTGGGCAATATGGTATGAAATATGCAAAGATATCTCAACATATAAGTCCTATTTGATGAAGAAGACCACCGATTTGTTCCCAGTACTACCACTTATTCCTATCGAGTAAAATTTAATATAACGAATGAGACACTTATTTCAAGAAATAATCCGGTTTCTAACCCCTATGTTCAAGCTTCTTCTCCCGTGATTGTTTCAGAAAAAAGTTCTTGTAAACATAGTGTGGTCGCAAATCACCGTAGGGCTTCAACAACACGGTATACTCTGGTCACTCGGATGTAGTAAGTAACTGAGAAATTCAGAAGGATAAAACGGATAACCATTTCGGAACTATAGCTTCTTTATGATATGCAAAGCTCTCCTTATCTACTCAACGTTGAATACCCTCCCGTTTATTTGACTAGGTATTCCCCACTTTCTTCTGTTGTGCTTTCGAAAATAAGGGTTCATAAACACTAATAGTCCTCCACAATGTTAGGAGCCGTTGGTCCGTAGTTCGAGTAATTATTTCAAAAGAAAAGTAGGTTTCTAAGTTGGTAAGCCCTTTAAGTTCACATTTTGCCTTCTGTTTTTTTCCAAACCAATAGCCGATCGCTCAACAGATATGTAGGAGGAAATAAAGGTGGATTTGGCACACACAGAATAGGCCGTCGAATGACATTGCACTCAATGAAGGCCATCGCTCGAGTGAAATCTGAATGGGGAGTGACGAGTGGGTCGTTAGCGCAAGAGTGAAATGGAGAAGATCGTG